ATATATGTATATATATATATATATGTATATATATATATATGTATATATATATATATATAATTATAATAAATCATTTTTAAGAAATATTAAGGCATTTTGCAAAGTACCCAGATCAAAATCTTCGTTTTAAATCCGTAGGACGCCTACTTCGACTACATTGATCCAAGAATATCAATTTGATAGAAAATTTTCTGAAAGTGCTAGAGTTGATCACAGGACGCACTTTTTGCCGCCAACCAATATTTCGCCGTCAGTACGTAGATTCAGACTACATAACGTGTTAGAGGTGACCGGCCGTTTCGAGATTGAACTTCGATTGACAGATTACCGTTTCCGAGCACTTGCCCTGCGAGCTTGCGGGGGCCTCAACTGATGTCATTGCAGTCCCTCTGACCGGGAGGTCCTAGGTTCGCGTCCCGATCGTGGCAGGATTTTCCGACACTACCTAGAGTGCTACGGCGAGTTCAGTCGCTGCCTGGAGGGTAATTCTAGCAGCCGGTTGTTATGCTCGGTGCTTTTACCTGGTTCCTCCGATCAATTCGAGGCGAACGCCGGAGCACTACTCTAACACATGGGCCACGGACTGCGCGCGATCTTCCCCTCCTTTTCCTTGTCCTATCGTCATCCCTCCCACACACACTTACATGCACTACACAACCACACATGCCGGGAGACCTGTTGGGAGCTTAGAGTCTGTCCCGGCTGGGGAGGTGCCCTGCTGGTGGGATATACCTGGTTGGTGGAAACCCCACTAGGTGCAGGTAGGTCGGCGCCGGATCTCACCGTCTCGCGGTCGAAGATCACCGCCACCCAGAGGAATGTGCTTCACTTACGGGAGTAATGACCTTAGCAGTTGACTCGTCCGAAATCACTAATCAATCATGACAATACTCCGGCACTCGCGTGGTGTTGATCGCACGAACCACGGAAAACTGCCGATCAGAGCAGGCAGCCTCTTATACGCTGGCTGGAAAAAAATAGCAGTGCCGAAAATTCCGCCACAGTCGGGACTCGAACCCTAGGTCCTCTAGGTCAAAGTTGCTGCCGAGACAGAGGCAAAGCTGGTTCTGAGTCAACTCAGCCGGTTGAAGAACATCACGATTCTGTTGATCTCGGTGCAATTTTCACAAACAAAAAGTTCAAAAGCAGTGGCGCTTCGAGCAGTCTCAGGCAGGGAATAACTGCGTTTTTATTACTTTCGTTAACTCTTCGTCAAATATAAATATTAACAATATCTAGTATTTTACGAAAATCATTAATATTAAAAAAAAAAAAAAAACTGTTCACGATTTCGTTGTTCAGATACTGACTTTCCCAACTATTCCAGCCATGTCTGTGGTGAAATCCTAATCGGTGCCATTTTTCACTGTCAACATAGTTTCTAACGCTATAAAATTGCCAAATTGCAACATAGTGCAATTTGAAAGTAATCTTTATGAACAATTTCTCGATCTAACATTGATTTATATGAAAATAACGATCATTTCTAATGAAAATAATAATCATTTGATTACGTCACAAAGCAAAGCAACTAAAATATAAGCATAATTTAAAAATTATGTTGACCTTTTACTGATACGTTATAGTTTGTTATTGCCTTCGATACGGAGTTGGATATACGCTCCATAACTTACCTGAATGGAAAGGACCGTGTTTACGAGGGAAATATAAAAACAGTTGACTGATGCTACACGTTTCCTTAGGGAGGGAATTAGGAGGGGGAATTATGGGAAGGAAATATAAAAAGAAAACCGAATCAAGTTAGCATCTAGTTAATCAGTAAATAAGTAAATGGGAACAAATAAAATTATGTATGTACCACGGGCTCGGTATTTAGAACCCTTATAACACCCTTGGTGCATAAATAACTATTTTAATGCAGCTAAAACCACCCTAAAAAGTTGTTTTCAAATACATCATTACTTAGTACAACAGAATTGTGGAAGCCGAAAGGAATTTACGGAATTTTCTGTCTTTGTGGTCAAGGATTCCTTCACGAAACTCTGTGCACCTAAACAGCTGAAATTCGCCCGCGCGCCCTTCACGCCCTGGCAGCTCCGTTTTTAGAATCAGCCTCTCGATCAAAGAATTGGCTCATACCTGCACAGTGAGAAAAAACATGAAAAGGACCAAAAATGTCCTATAACCTAACAATTTCAATCGAAACGTATCATACCTTCTTGTCGACATGTGCACGTTAATTATTATTAACACACAAAACTAATTTACAAGTGGGAAATAAACCTAAAAAGTTATATAGGAGTGTCATGGTAACCGATGGATTAATCACAACTGAGAAATTCAAATCATAGCACGACTGTCCAAATTGCAGCATTAGATACGATGGCATATTACACAACATATGTCACAGGTGGGAATAGTGCACTGGAGTATCTATTGCAACACCTCCAACC